AATTCAAAAGAAATAAATTTTTTGTAATTTTATCGAAAATAATTTTAAATTGTATTTTGATAATTAGTATAATTTAAAAAAAATTGTTCTGATATTAATAAAACTGGAAACTTTTATTTCCAAAATACAATTATACTTACGTGTAACTGTCAGGACGTTCGTTCAATTTATTTGATATTACAATGTTTTTCAGTAAATTATATTCTAATTCATTATTTTCATTGTATTTACCTAATACAATTCTTCCAAGTAATGAATTATTCAGAAGATAAAAAACACTATTTTCTCTAAATTGAAATTGCTTTAAAAAAATAAATAAAAATAAATAAACCTAATTCATTAAATATTATTATGATTGCCATCGTTTCCATTTCTTCTAACATTTTCGATTAACATTGAATATCATTCATTGAATAAAATTATGCAGCATTTGAACTTAAATAAAATAAGCAAAAATTATTTGCATAAAATGTAATTAATTTGAAAATTTATTGCTTACAAAAATGATAAATTTTCATATATTTTAGAATTTTATTTATTACTTTTATTATATTCATTTAATAATTTTTCAATATTCATTAAATAAAGTAATATTTATCTATAAACTGTAATTGTAAAAATATATATGTATACATATGAGACATTCCATGTCAAGTGATCCAGGTGTCTTACGGTGTAATGCTTATTTCGATAATTTTTTACTCTTAAACTATTAAACATAAAAATTTGGCAAGGTACATTTTGGAAAGGTTTTTTCATGCTCTTTCGATTGAAAATAAGCATTTAAAAAAAAAAATTTTTTTTGACCCAAAAAAATCAAAATTAAAAATAAATTTTAATTTTTTGGAAAAAAGGTCCCATTTTTTTTTTTTTTTTTTTTTAAACGAAAGCTGAGGTTTTTTCCTAAAAGGACATATAAATGAAAAAGTGGGACAAGAATGTTTAAACATTGAAAAACAGAGGTTTCTACTCTCTAAACCCGGTTTTTAGCTCTGTTTACGAGAAAATTCATTTTTTTAATGTTTAAACATTCTTGTCCCACTTTTTCATTTATATGTCCTTTTAGGAAAAAACCTCAGCTTTCGTTTAAAAAAAAAAAAAAAAAAAAATGGGACCTTTTTTCCAAAAAATTAAAATTTATTTTTAATTTTGATTTTTTTGGGTCAAAAAAAAATTTTTTTTTTTAAATGCTTATTTTCAATCGAAAGAGCATGAAAAAACCTTTCCAAAATGTACCTTGCCAAATTTTTATGTTTAATAGTTTAAGAGTAAAAAATTATCGAAATAAGCATTGTACTGAAAAACCCAAAAATTTAACCCCCTCCCCCTCGGAAAATATTGGACTAGGTAAAAAAATATTTTCACGAAAAAATACTATCAATTAGTACTACAAAAGCCCCAAGTTTTGCTACGATTGGAGAAAAATTTTTCTCCACCTGGATCACTTGACATGGAATGCCTCATATATATTATATTTTATTTATTGAAAGTGTTTAATCATTTAATTTCTTAATATTTATGACAATAAACTACAAACAAAAGTAAAATTTTTCTGCAATAAATTTTTAAAAATATTACAATATTTCAAAGAATATTATTATAAGAATATAACACTAATTAATTCTTTTAAACAATACACTTGATTTAAATAATTTTAGTTCTTATTTTTACTACTTACTTCTAATAAAATAATTTCTAAACTCCAAAACGAATCTTCCAAGAACACTGGGATACCCGAACACTGCTTTTCTTTTTTGCAGAAACTTCGAACTGTCGCGTATAAAATTCTAAAAGCTATTCAATTTCCCCTCTTCCTAAATTTTGGGAAATGAGAGTTCTCACTCTTGCGGGGAACTGCTTTACCAACGCTGTGAGACTTGTACATACCTATAAAGCTGAGTCTCCAATAGGTGCCAATATGCATGTGCAAGTGCCAGTGCCAGTGCCAAACCCCAATACATTTTAAATGGGTTTGGCACTGGCACTTTCACATATGCATGTGCAAGTGCCAGTGCCAGTGCCAAACCCCAATACATTTTAAATGGGTTTGGCACTGGCACTTTCACATGCATATTGGCACCTATTGGAGACTCAGCTTTATCTTAATTGGTCAGACCCCTCAACGAGAGAAACAGTCATCACCACGATGTTGGTTATGCAGGGACTTTCTTTTTGGTGGTTCTCACGCACGCGTTGGGGAGTCTGAACCCCCAAAACTTTTTCAGTGTACTTGTTATTCGTAAATATCTTATTTTTTTAAATAATGATTTTTGGCCAAAAATCGACGATCCTGGACCACTGTGCGTCAGTGTGGTTTATATATACTTAAACAGTTTTATTTTCGCGACGCGTCAAAAATGCTATTTTACTAGTCATTTTAATTAGTTATTTTACTAATTGCTTTTTATTGATCATAGTAAAAAATAATTTCATTGGGAACTTTGACATTCTAATTTTCCATTTTCGTAAAGAAAGTGTAAAAATATTAATTTTTGTAGGAGAATCGGCTGTCGCAAAATTGCGATTTTTGTGCTTGGTTTGTTTACATTTTTGGTTGTTTACATTTCACGACTTGGGCATACCAATCATTTTTATATTTTAATGCATTAAAATTCATAATATAATAAAAAGAAAACAATATACATAGATCTACGTTTTTAAAGGGTAATACCTGTTTGGAGGCTTAAAACAAGGGTGTTTTTCAAAATTTTTTATGAGTACAGTTTTAAATTATTGTTGGCAACATCGGCTTGCTTTTGGAATAAAAAATTTTTTTTTTATTATAATATTAGAATTTTTTTTGAAGAATTGTGAGACTTGCAAAAAAATCGTATTCTTCACCCAAAAAAATCTACTTTAATTATTGATAAAAAAATCCTGTTCATCAATTGTAAAAATCGTGTTTACTTCACTAGATAATCTATCTAAGAAGCTACAGTTAAATTTTCAGGCCAATCGAACGAAAACTTTTCGAGTTCTACTGCTCGCCGATTTACAAAACATGGTTTCGAGTAAGATGCATTTGAAGTTAAAATGTTCCATTCTGACACTCCGGAATTGATCCAGAAAAATTAAATTTAATAACACATCCAAATTGTTTTTATGCAGGGACGTTTTTGATTATCAATCTAGGAATGTCATAGTATATTTGAACCGTTCGCTCGAATAACGGCTTAAGTGTTTTGGAGGCATTTTGGGAAATCTTAAAATTAACATTCATTTATAAATTATAACTCATTTAAAACATTATTATTTTATTTAATAGGTTTCGCTTCTGAACAATTTCAATTAACCATTATAATTTAGATGTTGATTAATACGATGGTAAGCGTCTTTTGAAAAACGGCTTAAATCAACTTAAGCCGTTATTCGAGCGAACGGTTCATTTTAAGCCAATAAAAAAAACATTGTTTAAAAAAAATGCATTTGAAATTAAAAATTTCTATATTTACAATTCGGAATTTCTCAAGAAAAAATAATTTTGAAATCAGTTCCAAGTTGTTTTCATGCAAGGACGTTATAGATTATTAGTCTAGGGATGTTATAGTATATTTTAGGCCAATATAGAAAAAATCGAAAAATAAAAAATGCCAAACACGTATAACCCCTTAAGGGGAGAAACCACATTAGAACGCTGTTTTTTAGCCGTTTTTCGCGAATTTTTTTTTAAGGTAAGAATTTTTATTAATGAAATAAAACATTTCCACCATGTTTCACATATATTCAACTGTAACTCATATTTTTTTAAAGCGTTTATATCAAAAATCTTTTAAATTGGGAGCTATTACATATAGAGCTGCTCCGCCGGAGTTCATGACTGCCGTGCAGTCCTGGGCCCACAAATTTCGTCCGAAAGCAAAAAATCAAGTTTATTCACATTTTATAAATATTTTATTATTAAGTGAACCAACTTTTATGTGAAAATATTGAAAATTGAAAAATTGACACTACTTTTAAAAAAATATTCGATTTTTTTCCTACTTTTTTGCAACTTTTTTATTTAAAAAAAGGTATTAAAAATTATTTTTTTCTTTTTAAGTTTGGTTCACTTAATAATAAATTCAATAACTAACAATTTCCAATTTTTCGTTTTAAAATCGGTCAATAACTTTTTGAGCTACACTGCGCGGCAATTTCAAAAATCCTGTTTTGAGAAAAACGCATTTGAAAAAAGTATCAAAAAATTGATAAGTAGCATGTAAGTCTAATAATTCCTCTTTTCGTCCCTTTCTACTCTCCTTAGTCTCAAAAGTGCTACGCCTATTCTACTAATCTACGGTAACCTGGAGCGCGCTTCGTTCATCACCAGTACAGCGAGGACGTCGAATTTTGCTCTTAAAACTTTTGCAGCCTATTTTTGAACACCTTAACTAACAATTTATGCAAAAAAGAAAAAATTGATTTTTTCAGACGTCTAATGTGGTTTCCTCCCTTAAGCGTTTTTAAAGCGGGGTCTAATGGACCCCGCTTGCCCGCTTGCGTGATTTCTTTAGCTTGCCCGCCCAAGGGTTAAACGCGTTTTTCTCTAAACCACATTTTTCCATCTAGAATTATTTAAAATTATTAATTTTTACTATTTTTTACACCAAAAAACTGCCAAAAAACCTTCATTTTCGAAAATTTTTATTTAAATTGACTCCATTTTGTTATTTTTGCATAAAAATTAAAAATTATAGTTCGGACGGTAAGCACAGTTCTACTGAACATAAATCAACTTGAATTTTGTAATTCAGATTTTTCTGACCAAAGAAATCAATTACGCAGCTGACATCGGTACTTTCAGCAGGTCTAAAAGTATTGTTAATTTTTAAATAAACAAATAATATTTTTTTAATGAAATAAGGTTTTTTATAAAGTTAAATAGTGTATTTATTGAACTAAAAAAGATGCTGATCAATATAATCCATAGGAATAGTAAAAAAATTTCTAGAAAATAGCTTCATTTTCAAGCGTGTAAAGTGGTATGAACCCTTAGGTTTATAAAAAAACTTATTGAGTACCTTGAACAGTATTTCTGATACTTTTAAAATCCGGAATCGTCGCAACAAACATCACTAAATCGGCAAACTTAATATTGTCCTTTAACATCTTATTTTTTCCTTTCACAGGATTATCACCATCAACAAAACTTTCTTCTGACATAGATCCATCAGTTGTATCGTGACCTGCATTAAAAATTAAAAATTTCTTTAGTTTTATATTTTGATTTCCAGTTCTTCTAAAAAGAAGAGTTCCTGAAAAAACTATCGGATTGTATATATGGTCTTTCAAATTAGGACATTGTTTCTTGAATTCAAGAAAGAGACATTTCCGAATAAAGTTAATTTCTGAATTTAGAGAAAATGTATTATCTTAATTCGTAATACATTTTGAACTTAAAAATAAAGAGTATTACATATCATAGGGAATATTAATCTTAAATTTTTAAATAAGTTTAAAATTTTTTGTCAAATATTGTAAAATTTCTTCGAATCATTATTTTTGATTCCTTGTGGTCGAAGCTTTGTGGTCTTCCAATTTATACAACTTTTAAAAATGGTTTAAAGAAATTTTTTTCTATATAGAAATATGTTATATATTTGTGAACACAATCCAAAATGAATTTTCTTTATTCAGGATTATATTTCTGTACTAGCTGTCGTACTCGTCTTCGACAGGTTTTAGTTTCTACAAATACATTCAACAGTGTGTCTACAGTGCTAAAATCTAAAATAAGACCTATATTGCAGGCTAAATTCACAGTTTTTTCCGATTAAATTAAATTCCTGCATATTACCCATTTTTTCCAGTTGGTAGAACCACTGTTAAAAGTGTTAGTAAAAACAAAAACCCGTCGAAGAGTATTTTCATAAAATAAGTGAATTTTTGTAGCCGTTTGTAGTTTTATTTATTGTTAATACTTATCAAGAAAATTTATATTTGATGAGAAAAGATACACCTGGAAAAATTTGTACAAAGCTGGTAAAAACCGGATAGTTTGTTAAACATAAATAATAATAGACACCCTGTTTAACTTTTCCCTTTACAATGCTCAAAACATCCCTAAAAGTTAAATCTAGAATTAAAATAACAAAACTTTTTACTATCTATGTTATTTCCCAGTATCATAATGCAAGTAACGTATCACAGGTATTCTTAAATTCTTGCAGTATCAATTTTATTATAAAAAATCTCCATTTTTAATATTTTCGAAGTTTTTGCAATTCAAAATTTTTTGATCAAATGGATAAACAAATATTTCTAAATTCCATTATTTTGACGTCAAAAGTTTATCAGAGACCCCAAAAATACTACTGAATTACTTGATAGTAATTTGTCTGTCAATTATAATTTTTAAATTTTTTGATATTAAAAACATTTTTATACTTACTTCCATCTTTTAGTTAAGGACAGTATTTTTTTCAAAATTATGCTAAAATATGACTAAATAACATGTAATATTTAATTACAGAAAGTTTAAAAAATATGCATTAAAAAATATAAAATTTGGAAATTTTCCTAATTTTTTGAAAAATTGAATACCTCCCGTTCTAATTAATATGTTTAAAATCTGTAAATTTATTGTTTATATATATCTTACAAAAGTTATAACTGATTAATTTACAGCAATCTATCAAAATTTTAAAAAAAATCGAATTTTTTAGAAAATTCATAATTTTTTTTATATTAATATTATTTTTTAATTTAATTTATTGTTATATATCTTTAAAATCATTTATGTTATTAATAAATTAAAAAATTTATGCCAATCTGCAAAAATTAAAAAAAAAATTTTTTGAATTTTTTGAAAAATTTATAACTTTTGTTCAGCTTAATATTTTTTCATCAAATATAGCTAATATTTTAAGTTAGACCAATACCTAAAAGATTTCCAAATTTTACTTTAATCGGTCAAGACGTTTTCAAGTTATACGCGAACAAAATTTTGCGGACATCCATACACACACACACATACATACATACATTCATACATACATACAGACAGGAAATTTTCTATTACCATTTTTGGATTCTCCGTTGTTCAAATAAATAAATTATGCTAGAAAAAATTAATTTCGTGCAATGTACAGACAAAAGTCTGATTTTATTCATATAGATAGATAGATTATAAAATCATATTTCTTGCGTACAGTCTATATATATGTTATAAAATATATTGGACATTACTTAAGTATTAAACCTAATTAATTAAAATCACTTATTTTTCTAAAAACTTTTTTTATTTTTGAAGTTAAATCCACTGTTGTCCACTGCCGAACATCATCGATGTGCTGGGATTAGTTGATGCTTATCAACTGACATACATTATTGACATCATGGATATGATATGTTCGGTAGACCTTGCCCTTGAAGGCTAAAGTCTTACGACAGTTTCGAGGGTGGGTAAAGGGCTTCAAAAGAAGGGTTACGGGTTTTAGTGGATCGGGGCTGGCAGTAGGTCGCCAGCTTATTAAACAATTTTCATTTTATTTATTTTGTTTTATTTATTTTTTTATACCAACCCCACATAACCGTGGAGTGCGGAATCCAAGGTATCTGTAGGCAAATTTCCCAAAATTCCCTAAGCAAAAAAAAACCCACTGTTATGAAGAAAATTGTAAAGTTGTAACTTCTCGAGACCCCGTTGCAACAAAATAGTTTTGTATAAATTTCTAATCGTCTTATATGGAGGTAACGGGTACTCCTATCAATACAATATCCCGATAATTAGAAACATTCTCTTAGCTCCCATCTTCCGGCGCCTGTACACAGGTATATTGTACGTCGTTTAGTTCGTAGTTGTCGTATGTGGAGGTCACGGTATGTTGCACACTATTATTAATAGTATTAGGGTTTTTCTAACTATTTCCACATGGTGACCAATGAACGGGCATAATTTTCTTCTTTTAAATTTTTGATAACATTTTTACTTCTGAAGATGATTTTAAAATATCCAGAGGACGTTGATTAAAGTCCTTCTTTTTCGTGAAATTCCTTTACTTTTGTGTTGATTTTTATCAACACAAATTTCTATGACGACCACGGTTCCATTAGCTAAGTTTGCTAATACATACATTGCTTTATTTAACTGTCATTCCGAAATCAAGCAATGCATTCAACAAAGCAGCAACTTGGATGCATCAACCCATCATGGATGCTTTAAATTTGTACTTTTCATCTACTATATTTGAAGTCCCCTTGTGCAATATTATATCCACATTATAATGCTGCTGCCTGTAAAATGCTAAAACATAAGATGTACAACAGTAGTACTTTTCTTTGTTATCAGTAAAAAAATTAACAATATTCCGTAGATGTCTGCTGTCAAAGTATTGTTTCTCTTTGGTTGAAGATTTTGAGGTGCTATGATTTACATTTTAATTGTTCCCCACCAAAGGTTTTCTCAATTTCTTCTTCATTGTCAGTCATTTTCCAGAATCAACGTAAGGATGCACATCAACTGTATTCTGAATACAATGTTGCATCCTGAAATAAATATATGGGTTCTTTAATTAATTCAGCAATTTTATTTTAAATATTTCTAGTTCACATGTAATATTAACTATTCACTAAAGGACAACCAAACAGCAAGAAAAAATGGATTCACAAAATTCAAAGAAGGTACCCCATGTGAGCAGGCAGGAAACGGGAAATCTCACCATCAGTCCCAGGACTGATGCTCAAATGCGCGCGGATTGTGAAGGCGCACAATTTCTTGCAGCAGTGCCACGGGTGGTCGTGGATAGGTTAGACTCACAAAACATCGTGGAAGGAGAAAGAATGAGAAAAGGAAGCGCTTCGAGTCTTCTGAGTGTATCAAGTTGCAGTAGCGGAAAAATCGCATATAGCGCTATCACTCAGAAGTAGACGACGAGGCGATAGAAGAGACTCGCGAGATATGCTTGCGGCTCAGAAAGGAGGAGACGACTTGTTTCGACCAAATGAAGTTGGAGGTTGCTAAGATGATGAAGTCTTGCGACATTCAGAGGAACGTCAACAAGACGGTAAAAGATAGTAAAGTCATCGAAGTCCTGCTGAAAGAGGCAAAAGTAAAGCATGCCGTGGCCGATGAGTCGGACTTCGATTTGGCATGCGTTCTCAGCGGTGCGGAGTGTAACCGCAAAGACCGTAAGGAAGAGAGAAAGCGTTTCTATTGGCGTAATCTCAAAAGCATCATAAGTGATGCTCAGAAACGGAAGAGAGAGGGTGAAAGTCCAGAGGAGACTCGAACCCAAACCGATAAAAGGAAAAAGGAGGAAGCTCCTCCAATGCAAACGGAAGTACCAGATCCAAAGATTCCTCAATTGGAAAGAATGAGGTCAAAAATAACGTGGCAGGCGTCGGTGTCTCCCGGCTTGAGAGACGTGTAGCTTTGTTAAAGGCTGGCGAGGTAAGAGAGCGAGTCAGGGAAAATGTGCGGTATTTATGCTCCTCTACTGAGTCACATCCGCAACATCCCTTCCACCTTGGCAAGAGCCAATCAGCGCGTGAGTTGCCCCCACCCGTTCCGAGCAAGCGCGGTACGGTTGAGGTTTCGAGAGCGAGAGTCAGTCGAGCGGAAGACACAGGATGAGTGAGATGTGCCTCTAGACTCTCTTATAAAGGCGATGCGTTGCGTCGTTTCAGTTTGCCTTTACCGTCAACTTTGTACCGTACCTCCGGTACAAAATATCTAAGTTAAGACTAGATTAAAATAAATGAATTTACTTATAATATTCTTTAATGTTATATTCGAGCCTTATTTTTGAATTTTTGTTTTTAAACATTTTTTAAATAACAATATGTTTTAAAAAAATCGTAAAATATATTTTTTTAGTTTTATTGGTTAAGAAAATTAGTCAAAAAACCTATTGAAATAATGTTTGATTGATAAAAAATAAAAAATAATTTAGTTAAAAATTGGTATACAATAAAAAGTTATTATTTTGTCATAAACTATACTTAGGGTTTAAAATTTATATTTTTTCTGAATTGTGCAATTTTTCGTAAGTAAAGTATTCAAGTATAAAAGAAAAACTAAAAATTAATTAGGGACCGTACACATAATACGTCACGCGGCTAGGGGGAAGGAGGGGGTCTGAGAACTGTGACTAAGTGTGACATAGGGGTGGGGGGGTGAACTCATGTGTTACGTCAGGATCTTTTAAATTCAAAGATAATAAGAAATTATATGTGACAATGTCAC